AAATCAATATTCTGAGGAAGCAATAATATAAGAGAAAAGGCAGGGTGACTGAAAAGGCTTATGGGTGAATATTAAAGATCACAAAGAAGAATGAGGTAGGTAAAGAAGCTTCCAGAAGGAAGCAGATCAGAAGTATGAGGCTCCTATTGAGAACAGCCAAATAGAGAATGGTCACTGATTCACAGTGAAGCTGTGATGGACTAGCAAGTGGATAAAGAGAGCAGATGCTTGAAGCCTAATGTTCTTAGTAACCCTCAATAAACAGACAGATCCAGGTGCATAAGGGTGATTAGTATGTGTGGGAGGATATGGAAATGTTGCCAGTGGTGGAACCGGGAAAGGAAGCAAGGTTTGGCATTAGGAGAAAAAAACTTGACACATCTGCTGTTCTCCTCTCTGTGTGCACTTCCTCAACCAAGCTAGCTGAGGACAAGGGTTGAGATCAAGGTGAGGCTGAATGGCTGGAGGGGAGGTAGTGAGGTGCTCATAAGCCATCGGGAAATGCCTGGAAAAAGCTGAGCCTTTTGGGAGCCACACAAGAAGAGAAGGGACTATATTCTGTGGTAGACAGAGAAATAAGGAGCTGAGGGAATGATTTTTCAATCATCTGGATTTAACGGCAGTAGGACAGATGAGTAAATGTTCTAGGAACCCACCCTGGCTACAGAAGCCCAAACCACCCCCCACACACCTGGACACATTTACCAGGACCTTCGAGAGAGCTCAGAACCATCTCAACTCCAATGCAGTTTTGCAGGGTAGTTAAGGATGGTTCTAGGTCTTGCTTTTCTTCTCATGCAGCCTCACTAGACACCCACATGATCAAGGTAAAGCCCTGGATAGAGATGTGGTGGGTAAGAACGGAGGTTAGCATGTTCCTTAGTGCACCCACCAGTCAGCTCTCTTTAACAGGGTCCGGTCTGGTGGAGGAGCTCATTCATACCACAATTATATTATCACCTCCTCTACATGGTGTTACAGGGAAGTGAACTGGGATAGGAAAAGGAGGATGCACGGTGAGACTGACTGCAATGGTGCAGAAGTTACAATGCCACAACTGGGAGCCAGAAAGATACACTTTAAAGAAAAGATACATAGGATTTGGATATTTTGGGAGAGAAGCACACCAACAGTAACAATCATAGGAAAAGTATAAAGGGAGAGGCAAGTGCGCTGTGTCTGGGGTTGGATGAGTTATCTGTCTGTCTGGAATAGAGGTTCCAATGCGTTGGGAGATGAGGTTGAAATTTATGAAAGAGACTTTAACGATACGAGGATTTCTGTGTTTTCTGTGTAGGCAGCAGCAGCAATTGCTGTTCTACTTAAGGGGGAGATATGTGTCTAAGAGCGCAAGAAATAAGAATTATCCAGCCAGAATGGATAAGAGAGCTAAGTCTGGAGTCTGGGAGTCCTGAGGGAAATATGTGCCAAAAAAAAGAAAGCCATTTCCATTAGGCACTGGTGGCTCATGCCTGTAATCCTGGCTAGTGAGGAGGCAGAAATCAAGAGGATCATGGTTCAAAGCCAGCCCTGGGCAAACAGTTTGAGAGACCCTGTCTCAAAAAAAGCCATCACAGAAAGAGGCTGGTGGAATGGCTCAAGAGGTAAGAGCACCTGCCTACCAAGCATGAAGCCCTGAGTTCAAACCTCAGTGCTGAAAAAAAAGAAAGAAAAGAAAACCATTTCTATTTTCCAAGGATCTTGACAGCAGGTCATCTTCCTCTTATATCTCCAATTCTTCATTGTGGTGGACTAAAATTCTTACAGTAGTGAGTAAGCATATCTGAAGAGATTTTGTTGAATAATGCCAGAACATAAGGTATCATTGGTTAAGCATAAGATTAAATGTTCATTTTTTTCTAGACTGCAACTAAGTTCTTCTCAGTATTGGTTTATTTTAATGCAACTTGGAAGTATAGGAAGATTGTTTGAGATGGGCCTGAAACTAAGTTAGAACTAAAACATTTATTTTGTCATGTGGGAGACCTCTTCACATGGCTAGAGCACTTAAATTGTAATGTAAACTACTTGATGTCTGTTTATCTCACAGGACTCAACTCTTCCAAGGCCATGGTTGTATCTTGTATATTCATTGTGTGCCCTCAAATTCTACCTCATACTTTTTAGATGACTGTTGAATGGATGAGTGGAGAATGATTTTTATTAAGGAAATATTTCTCTGCTTCTTGTTATTCTAATTTATCCCTTAATTCAAATTTGTAAATGATTGCTGTAACTCTGAATATTAAGAAATTTGTTGGGGCTGGTAGAGTGGCTCAAGTGGTAGAGTGCCTGCCTAGAAAACATAAGGCCCTGGGTTCAAACCAGTACCACCAAAAAAAAAAAGAAAGAAAGAAATTTGTAAGGACCATTTGGAAAGGAAAGTATCGTAGCTGCACTTTGGTGCTACCTATAGTGTTATTCCCATAGAGGTATTTTGGTCTATCTGAGCATAGATGGTTGTGTGTTAAAAAGTGGCAGTCCCTTGATGTCCTTAGGACTATCTGAGCAATAGGCACTGCAATAGAGGGCCACTGGTTTGGAAATCAGGTGGCCTTGGTTCTAGTGCTGTCCACTCAGAGGATCCTCATGCGTGGAATGCTCCTCCCAGCCTTTTGCCTAGGTGATGCCCCCTTGTCCTTAGTCACCACACAGCTTGTCACATCCTTAGCATCCCTGTCTCAGCTGTCCCCTGAGCCAGCTTTAGTTCCTAGTCTGAGTTCTCATGGGACTCTGTGATTTCCTTTTGTAGCAAGTAATTGTTGAAGGGATTATTTAGGCTGTAACTTTCGCAAGGGCAGGAACATGTCTGTTGGTTTCACCAGTGTCCCAGCACTTAACACTGTACCTGGCACAAACAGTATTCTGGATAAACACTTGAGGAAGCCAGTGGACTGTGGTGGACCCTGTACATTAGATTCCAGTTTCCTTATCTGTTTAAAACCTGTATATTAGCCATTAACAATGTTACTGAAGACGTTCTTTCTCTTCAAAGATCTTTGGATTAACTTTTCACAATTTTTATTATAATAGTTATTCACACCCATGATAGCAATTCAAACAGTACAATAGAATTTAAAATATATCCAGTCCTTCACCCAGTGCAATAAATATTAAAAACTACTTGTCTGCACCTACAGAATAAAATTGAATGAGCTACAATAATCCAGAGTTGAATCGGTTAACAATGGGATGGGGTCATTTCCCTTGTTTCCAGTCCCCATGGACCAGCTTCCATATTTCAATTTCAAGACACTTCATGCTTTTTAGTGAAGGGATGTAACTGTCATGGAGGAATCTATGCTGAGAGCAGGTGGGGCCAAGGCCTTTTGCTAAATTCCTATGCTAGCCTGCTCCATGCTTTTTTCTAGCTGATCCATGTAGAGATTTTACTATTCTTGGTGAGCCTTTGAAAGTCCTCTCTTTTCAAGGATTTGAGCTCACTTCCAGATATTATTTAATAAAGTAGTAAGGCAGGTTGAATAATTCAAGGTTATGTGTGTTTTGAATGTTTTTAATAAACTGGATGTTTAAAAAATAAATATTTGCCTAAAGATTTTCACCTTAAAAAGCACTTCCTTATGAGCTGTTTGGTTCCTAGGGTAGTTTTATGTGGTTGAGGAAAATTATTGAGGGAATGAGATGCAGCAAAATGGAACTTCATGAACTTGAATGGAAATTTGTACAACCAATTCTAATTATGTACAAAAACCAGAATTATATAAGTATGGGCACTTTTACCCCCCACAAATTTTACTCGAGGTCTGATGGGAAGGTGATTTTGGTCATGGGCTGTAGGTTACAGTGGGTTCATACTATTATCGAGTGGTTTATGTTGAGGGTGGGAGAAGGTAAGGGAGGAGCAGGGACAGGCTCATGCTGCCTGACTCAGCCTCTGAAGCAGTTCATGACTAGGCATTAGAGACAGAGTAAAGTTTGAATTATAGACTTTCCCAAATATTGCTGGCAGGGCAACAGCTGTTTACTGACAGCCAGTTGCTTAAGAAGCAGCTTGTGCCAGATGGAATCCCTGGGCTCTAGAGCCTGACGGACTCAAATGTTCAGGAGGTTCAAGTGAGCCTGGGTTGGAATTTGCCAAGATGATGATTACCTATTTAATATTAACCAGTGTAATACAAGCTCAGTACTAGAATAGTACTCAAAACCAAGCATGTATCCGCCTGCTCAGGTGTCACTCACTACTTAGGTGATTTGCTTGCAGGGCTCCTCTACCAAGATACATCCTTAAAAAGGATGTTTCTTGAGTACTTCAGCTGCCATTTCTACCTCGTACCTTCTGAGGAAGGGCCTAGGTGAGAAGGGTAATGCAGCAAAATTCTCTCAGCAATCCTACCTGCCATCTTCTCTTTATTACATAATACAGAAAGGATGATTTCCATGTATCCAAGTACTGTTCTTGTTCCTTTTATTTTCCATAATATATTAGGAATAATGTGTTAGTAAATGTGAACATTTATGATATGTCAGAGATTTTACAATCATTGGAAATGTTTACAAACCTGCAAAATAGACAGCATTAGCCCATTTTATATTATGTAATGTTTAAAGCCACAGATCCAGGTGACACAGCTGGGATTTGAACAAAGTTCTTTCAAGTTTCAAAGTCCATGTTCTTTCTAGAAATAATATTAAGTGTAGTTATAATATGGTTTACCATATTATAACTGTGTTCTGTACCACAGAACAGTAATTATTACAATAAACTTATAAGGTAGCTGTTATCTATTGAAGTAAAATTGAGGATAGGAAACTAGAGACAAGGAAAGTAAGTTGCCAATATTATTTGGTAAATAAACAGACCCAAAATTTGAACCCATTTCATCTGTGTATAAAGACTTTTACCTTCTGGGCAACACCACCTACTGTAGTTTTATGGGTATGATGTTGCAAACTAGGTAGAAATCAAAGTAAAGAGTTATGGACAATGTGGTTGAGAGGAGCTGGGGATAATTCAGATTGTAGGTTGAATCGAATCAAACTTTCTTTTCTTTCCTCTATAGGTGTCTGCCTCCTCTGGTGCAACTGGCAAGTCTTCTAGTATGAATACCACAGGAACCAAGGTACAAAGGACCTTAAGAGTCAAGTTGGGTGAATGCCACTTTAAATCAGTTATATTGTAGTTTGATTTGTGAGCAAATCAAAGGCAAAATAATTGTTGACAGACAAGTTATGTCTTAGGAAGATTACATTATGGAAGTAAACACTTTCTTCCTAACTTAAAGAGGCCTTTGGAAATTCAGTTCTTCTAATATTTACCTTGAACTCATATATAGACATTGTTCTAGAATATCTAGAAAAAGGAGTTACCTGGAGTTTCCTTTTGTTTGTTTGTTTTTGCTTTTGTTTTTGTGATTAAGTTTTTGAAATGAAGATAATTTCTCCAAATACATTTCTCTGGACCTAAATACGAATATAGATTCTAAACATCCTACTAAAAATGGTTCTGATATTTTGATGTGCATTTTAAAATGAGAAAGGTTACATTAAGTGACATAGAAACAAAGGAAACAGGTACTGGTTACTTCAATTATTTTCTGAAACTTGAGTCATGGCGAATATTTCCTATTGACAAACCTTTGCTGAGCTCTATTTGTAATTTATTCTTATAATTATTTCTTGGAATTTCAGAATTAGAAATAAAAGAATGTTGTCCAGTGCAGTTGTTACATAGGGTAAGCCTGTTTCTGAGAATTGCCTAAAGTTACCATAGTCCTGTCCCTTAGTTACTGTGTCTCATGCTGTTTCCTAGAATATACCAGTGAGGGTTGAAGAGGGGACATTTTCAAACTGCTCACAACTCATTCTTATGAGAGCTACTCCAGATCCATTGTCAGTAAATTGCCTTGTTGACTTTCTGTCTTCCATATTACTGTGCTGTCTCAGTTGTTTCCTATCCCAGGGGATGTGGCAGCATGAGTTAGTGCCACCAGGGATGCTGTGGTCTTATCTTGAACTAAAGCATTGCAAATATCTGCCTGTATTTATGTAAGATCTTTAAATGCCATTTAGCATTCATTTTATTTTTTAAGCATATTTAATCTAGACTTTAATATTTTACACTTAGATTGGTTTCTTACTTATATTAAAATATACATTATATGATCTGTGAGTAACCTATTAAGCTCTCACTTCTACTTATAGCAAGCTTAACTTAAAATTTTTTTTAAAAAATTTGTGATTGGTGCTAGGGCCCCATGCCTCCCACTCCCAAATCCTATCAATCTTAAAATAATCTTAAAATACTAAAGGAGAAGCATCTAAAAAATTCTCATCAAATTTACAATCCATAAAAACTAAAGAAAGGAGGAAGAAAGGAGAGCCATAAGTACAGGATTTACTTTTCTTTGTATTACTTCACTTGTAAGCTACTGCCTGATTCTAATCCCCTGTGTCTCAGAGAGCCAGTGTTTATTTCAAGTGTGCCCTATTTTCTGGAGCATGTGTCAGCAAACTTCAGGCATCATGAAACATTAAATCTTGAGAATCCTTGGTAGTCTAATGAAAGTGGGGGAAGGGAGGAGAGTAGATGTCAGAAGACAGGGAGAGACAAAAACAAGATGCAACAATGAAGTGCCACCACTGCCTTGGGACCACTTTGGCCTCAGCTTCCTTGGTGTATTTCAATGACACTATGCTCACTAATTGTCTTATCTTCATATGCTTCTGGTGTTTGACTCATGGCAGTTGCACCAGCCTCCTCTTGGAGATGTTTGTCAGATTGAACTTGATAAGTTTCTGTCTCCAAATACTTTGAACTTTTAGAGTAAAAGTGCTCATTCAAGAAAATACTTACACTAAATCCTTGTCTTATTCTACATCTTTAAAAAACTCAGTCTATGTCTGAAGAGGGATGATATGACTAGGTCTATGTTCTTTATCTCTTGCCCTTGGCACGTTAGAATTGGTGTTCACACTGTTGAGTATAGGGGTCAAACCATTTCTAATCAGGATGAAATCCTTGAGAGATTGTGTAACATGGTCACTGGAGCCAGGTGGCATAGCTCGGAAGCCTGTTTCTCCACCAGATGTGATATTAGACAACCTCTCTTTGCTTTGGTTTATTTGCACAATCTGAAGGAAAATGGTAATAGTGACCATTTGAGAAGACTGCAAAAGGAAAGAAGCATATATTGAACAATGCCTGTCCACTAGCTAATGCCCAGCATGAGTTAACTGTTGGCCAATACAGGAGAGCAGTGCAGCGTTGTGACTGAGAGGATACAAGTCCAGCTCCATCTCAGGTGTCCTTGGGGGTTATTTAACTTCTTTAACCTCAATTCCCATCTGAAAAATAGGTAGAATGAAAATACCTGTCTCATCAGGTTATTATAAGTACGAAGTGAGTTGACATAGGTAAAGGCTTAGAGCGCATGCCCTGGTACCTGGAAATGATTGATAAACACTGAAATTATTTATCACGGTTGCTATTATGTTCAGCATCACCACTACCAGCAATAAACTCATGATTACTGATTTAAATGCACATTGCATTATAAGCTCCTATATCTATGACTATACATTCTTAACTGTACTGCCGAATTCTCCCATACAAAGTCTTGATCACTAAATGACAAACTGGAAGCTATTAATAGATTCAAATCACTACAATACCAACTGGCTTATTTTCTTTGTTAATCATTTAATAAATTACATTTGTATAAATTTTTAAAAAAAGGATGCTTAAACTGAGTTGTATAAGCAGAACTGCATTAGCAAGGATGCATTGTGAAAGGATCCCAAATTTAAAATTTCTTTAAAAACATTTCTTTGATCATGAACTTTGATTTCTTCCCCAAGCAATAAGTGTATTGGTACAACCCAAGGTCATTGTGTAAGGAAGCATATACTTTCAGTACTGAAGATAAGATAAATTTAGGAGATATTTGACTTTAGTTTCTTCAGATAATAAAATAAAAAACAGACCTTTCCAGTGATGCCATCAAATAGTCAAGAGGAGAAATAGCAGGAAACATTAGACCCATTTGTAATCTCTTTGAAAAGTTAATAAAACATTAATCAAATTTCATATCTTACCTCCATCAAAAATGGATGAATGTATTTATTGAGTTATCTTTTTTTCTACAAGTAACCTTTAAAAAATCTATGAAACAAACACCACACTAAAGGTGCCTAAATTGCAACAGTTATTCCAGAACAATATTAGAACATTAGATTAAATCTCGACATATAGGACCATGACAGGTACAATAAAGACCCATGCACAAGTATTTACAAATTATTTAAAATATGTTGACAGAACTTCAGAAAACTTATGACAATACCTATGACTACTTATTTGATCGTAGACAAACACTGGAAATAACGACAGAAAAAATATTGCTCAGACAGCCTTTACACAGAGAAGGAAAGGAAATGAAAAGAATTAGGAATGACCTTTACTAATGGAAGTCTTCACTACAAAATACAAATGCAAACTGAAATATTGGCTTGGGATCTTAGAGTTCATATGTCCAAATCTTCTTTGAGATCTATATCTATATGCATGCAGTGAGTAGATGTGTTAGATAAGTAGAATGGATATTGATATGAACATTTTAAGCCCTTTGTATAAATGTACTTATTTGACTGTCAGATAAAATTAAATTAGACTTGGGGCTGTGCTCTTATATTAGGCAATTCCAATCAGCAAAAAGATGGAAGGACCCCATCCTCCTCACAAGAAAAGACACAAAAAACAGGTGAAATAGTTCCTTGCACAGAGGCATCACTGTTTACTAACGGTCACTTCAGTCGCTCAGCACATGCTAACAATTCCAGGTCATAATCTCCTGCGATGCTCTGACTCCATCACCATCTTTCTCTAAGCCTAACTACCCATCAGTCACTTACAGCACTAAAAATAATCCACTGCTTTCTGTGCCCCCAAGTCTTTCATTACGCCGTCGTTTCACACTTTTAACCAAAACCTGTGGTAAGTATTTCATTGGTAAAAAGATAAGGTAAGTGACTTTGAAAAATGGTATCCTTAGCTTTGAAAGATGAAGAGTTTTATTTTATTCTGCTTATGTATTTGCTACAATGTTAGTAGTAACCTTTACATATCTTTGATATAAATAGTAAGAAATAAGATGTAAATTATCATGTGAATCATAAGAACAGAATATTATTTAGTGTGGTTAAGTGGTTATCTAAAGAGTTACAGTTTCAAGAAGAGTATAATAAATTTAATAATAAATTTTATATTTATAACCTCAAAATCATTTTTGAACTTACTTAGTTAAAGAGCATCTACTATAATCTTGATAAACTATGTCCATTTCTATTTCTTCCCTTTTCCCTCTTTCCCTCTGTCCCTCCCTCTTTCTTTCTCTCCCTTTTTTTGTTCTTTCTCTTTTTCTTTTTGTTCTTTCTGTCTGTTTCTTTCTCTGTCTTCCTCTTTCTTTCTCTGTTTTTCTTTTTTCTTTGTCTTTATCTCTTTCTTCTCCCTCTCTCCCCCCTCCCTCCCTGTCTTTCTCTTTTTTTTTCCTTTCATTCTTCTGTATTTAGGCTGTGAAAACAGAGCCTGAGAAGAAGCCACAATCAGCTAAGGTAAATGGCATAAGTTTGCTAGTGAGTTATTCAGAATCTTTTTTACAATAATGAATAACAAATTATATATGAAGTTAATTAAATATATATATATATTTATTTATTTTATTCATATCTGCATACAATGTTTGGGTAATTTCTCCCCCCTCCCCCACCCCCTTCCTTACCATCCACCCTACCCCCTCCCTCTCCCCCCCACCCCCTTGATACCTGGCAGAAACTATTTTGCCCTTATCTCTAATTAAATATATATTTATTTATCACTTTCAAAATATACCCTACATAAATGATTATAGGTTATACATAAAATATTTACAGCATTAAATCCATATAATTTTTAAAGAATATGTAAATATTTTATAGACAAACAGTATGTTTCAGAAGGCAATTAATTCAAAAATATATTTTTAAATGAAATAACTACTCAAAAAATAAAACAACAGGAACAAAATAGAAAAGACAAATGGTAGTATCCAATTATAGTTTCAATGAGACATCAGGAATAATGTGTCTGTGAACATGGCATGGAGATAATTTAAGAATGAGAGTTGGGCCAGTTAATCTTGGCAGTCTTACCTGTGTTGGTTGAGCTGGTTTTTAGTTACTCAGGAGCCTTTCCCTTGGGAGTGGCTTCTCTTCCATTCTGACTCATGGCTGTCCAGACTGAAAGCTCTTCTGCCTCCACATGGAGGTGAGTCCCAGGGTGTCTGCACCAGTGCAAATCTTTCTCATTAATAAAGTGCTGTACTTTATTTTTTCAAACACTTGAGTGGGATAAGACCACAAGATTTTATGCGGGAAGGCACAGAGATGCTTAGGCAAAGTACTTTAAGTATAAGTGAGAGTGAGATCATGGAGGGAAAGGTGAGACTTACTTGATTTTTGAAGGCTCCTGTAGATGGCAGTTGCATTGTGAATTCTAGAGTGAAGAATATAGCAGCTAGATAGAAGTTGTCTTCTATTCTACATCTAAATGTTTTTGGTTATCTATCAAATTTCAAGAGAATTAGGTCTCTGGTGATATGATCTTCTCTAATTATAATAAAGAAAAAACTTTGAAAAATCAATTAATTGATATTACAGAATTCTTCGTCTCCTATGAAAGAAAGCTAAAAACTTAATTTCTAGAGTGGAATTGCTGTTCAACAGGTGACTCAGTGTTCACCTTGTTCATTTGATGTTTCTGTAGATAGACTTGCAGTTACTAATTTATCTTGATTGTGAAAAGCAGAAATATATATATTTGAAAACATCTTTTTAGGTGAAATATTCAATTTTCACTGTTTTTCTGATAATCACTACTACTGGAGGTGTGGTAGGGTTACTGTTGACCAGACATCACATGTCTATGTTGATTCCAAAGAACTTGGCTAAAGTGAGCTTTTCCTGAGACAGAATGATTTAATTGAAATTTTATTCTTGAGCTTATTTGGACATGTGAAAACAATGGATTCTAATATAATTGAGTTTTTAATTATTTGAAATTAACAGCCCCCAGTGGTTCATGAGAAAAAATCCCAAGAAGGAAAGCCAAAGGAGCACACAGAGGTAAGTGATTACCACTAGGAGTTGATATTATAAAGTTATGTGTTTTGGTGAAGTATACTTTTAAAATCTCTCCTCATTTGACATTTGTTCCAACCATGGATGGCTGAATGTTTTTTTTTCAGTTAAAATGGTGCCACCATGTGGCAATAGTAGTGTTTACAGTTACTTAAGTGATTCTTGCTGATTTAGAGCAAAGGATTAGCCCTATTTCAAATTTTGTACCTGAAGTGAAATTTTACCATATTTGCATCATACTAATTCAGACTCACATAATTCAAACCTTGAAATAGCACAACTGTTATGAATGGCTTTTATTCTATGAAGAAAAGTGTCAAAATGTTGTTTAAAACCACCATTGTGCTAACAATGTTTTTGTTTGTGTGTGTGCATGTACATGTGTGCTTTCAGTCAAAGAGGCTCCCCAGGCATGCACCAGATACAAGAAGCAAACATGCTCAAAATGAAAAAGCAGTTTCCAGATCAAATGAGCAGCTGACATCAGAGAAAACAACAGAGCCAAAGGTAAACAAAGCAGGTTGATAGACATGAAAGCACTAACATCAACTAGCTAATAAGCCATGGTTCCCCAGATCACATCGGGGTGTGTAGTTGAGTTGATAGGACTATGCTGAACATATTTTGTATTGTAATGATTTGGTGCTATTATTTCATTGGTTTTACAAAAGCATTGTAGGGACTTGGGCTCATGGGAGATCTGAGAAAGCAAAGGCATCAGAAAAGTTTAGGGAAATGTTCTGTTCAGCCATCTCCTACCATCCAGAAGTGACCAGCATGACTACAAGGCAACAGGTTCGGGTATCTCCCAATTGGAAAATTTTTAATTGAAGCCCTCTTCTCCTCCCTGCCTTCCCATTCTCTTCTCTTCTTTCCCCTCTCCTTCCTTCCCCTTCCCTCCCCTCTCCTTCCCTCTCATGGAGTCTTACAGATATGCAGTACCATGCTCAACATTATCAGCTTTTTTAAATGAAAGGCTTGAAGCATTTTTACAGTCTTGTTGTAGAGGGGTTGAACTTATACAGCCCAATATCAGAAAATGACGCATATAAAATAAATCTCTAAGAAGAACTTTTTGATTGAGTGTACTTGGACGGTGACAACTAGGCCTGCTTCACAATATAGTATGTATCAGTGATCACAAATTTGTGACTCCCCAGTTAAATGCAACCACATGGATATTTATTTGTTTTATAGTGTTGTTTAAAATTATTTTTAATTAGTTGCCAGCAAACAAAGTCAGGACATTTCATATAAAATACTAATTTCTAACTTCTCTTAAAAAATCAGACTATCTGGCAAAAATGGGCTCATAGGGCAACAGTTGACTAGAGCCATAACACCTGGTCCAATGGGCTCCAGTTTACCACAGTGCACTGAAGCACGTAAACCAGGTGTGATGCTGTCTGCCTATTTGTGTGACTGAACGACTCTGTAGGCTATTAAGTCCAGGTTTATACCATACCCAGCATTGCAGCATGTGCAGTAAAAGCTAATAAACCTTCCTGTGCCATGATGTCCATGTGGACAAACTGGCAGATGGAAGCTACGTTTGAAACCCATGATCTTGGTAGTGGTCAAAGATACTTAGTTCTGTCAATCTTTTATCCCACTCTCAGACTAAATCACAAGACACTACTTCTGCCAGTGGAGAAAGTGTCATTGCTGGTGTAGCTGCAATATCTGACAAACCAGATGGCAAGGTGAGCACATGTAGAAGAAGGAGCCTTCATTCTTATCAGGTTTCTATTATAAGAAATATATGCTCAAATAACTTATCACTTGGTAAAACTGAATGCTTTTACTTGTGAAATTTTGTGGAGAACCTATATTGAAAGGATATAAAGATTGCTAAAAATGATGTTTAAATTCACATATTCAATGAATATGTAAGCATCTGCCATCTATAGGGCCTGGTATCAACACAAAGGAAATTAAAATGTGAGTTGACTCAGACCTGCCTTCCAGATTTATAGGTATGAAATAAAGTACATGAAATTTCTATGAGCATTTAAGCAAGCATTACTCTTGGCTTTGAATGTTCCCACCAGCTATCTTGATGCTAGTAAATCACACATTCACATCAGCCTGAGTTGATGTGGGAGGTTTCTAAAGGAGACCTCATCAGTCCCCTCAAGAGCAAGTATATGTGTTGTGCTGCCTAGTCCCCAGCAAGTCTTCCTTGGAGCCTTGGAAGAGCCTCAGATGTGAGAAGAGAAGTGGTCTCCCTTTTCTACCCATAGCAGCACAGAGTTAGCTGACCATTTGGAGGACATGTAGTCAGTTTGAAGCCATAAGTAAGAAATTGAAGCAGCAATGAGAAGAGGTAGGTGAAAACAGAAACAAGTTGTTTGGATATTTTACATTCCTACTTTTGAAAATGGAAAAGATGTCAGCTAGACAGTAAGGAAATTCATTGGAGAAAAGTATGGCACATCACCCTGAAATGTATCCTTTCTCAGATTTTAGGAGACAGGGCCCATTGTTTTTATTCAAACTCATGCAGTTCTTCTGTGGAATAAAGGCAAAATTTGCAAACACTTCTGAATAAAAATTCTCAGCTTAAATACTTTTCCTTTGTGATAGATCACTGTTACACGTCCTTCAGACCCTCACACTCACCCCAGAGATACATGTTACTGTCCTGGGCTAATGAGGGGTAGCTAAATGAAATGATGTAAAAATCAATAGATATAGGGCAGAGGACTCGATATGTTAAGGTAAACTTTAAAATGCAATTGGCCAGGCAATTACCAGTAATCCTGTAATCCTCGATACTTAGGAGGCAGAGATTGGGGAAGGTTGCAATTTGAAGCCAGCCATGGCAAAGTTCAAGAAACCCCATCTCAGCCACCTGTCATCCCAGCTATGCAGCGAGGCACAAACAGAAGGGTCATGGTGCCTGGTCATAAAGCTAGGTCCTAGCTCAAAAATAGCCAGCACAACGAGGGTTGGCAGTGACTCAAGTAGAAGAGTGCCTTCCAAGCAAGTATAAGGCCCTGAGTTCGACTCCCAGTACCACTGCCTCCCCCAAAAAAAGGCAGTCAACATTTGAAGTTTTATGCTAGCTATAAATTAGCCAGACTGATCAGTGAAAACTGCATGATCGGAGAGGTTTCTGTGGAATTCTGTTGTGCATTGGCTTTTGCTGGAACTTTTCACAGTAAATAGGATTGATCAGATTTCCTCCTGCCTTCTTATTTTAGAATGTTGTGAGTTTAAAGCACTATGGTCAACTCTGCAGGACACACTACAGGCTGGCCCATCTAGATAGAGCTGGGTCTCTACAGGGAGGTGTTTGGTGAGAAAACATTTGACTCAGGGACTCTGGCAAGGGCTTTGAGAGAGTAGTTCTCATTTGAGTTAGGCACGGAAGGAGATCTAGGATTGCAAGCTTGGAAACACTTCAAGGTGTTCGAAAGTTTCAGATGTGTTCTGATCACAGAGTGCATTCCTGTGGGCTTTTAGACCAGACAGACAGGTTAAGGCTGCTGTGGAGAGTGCTAAGGTGAGGTTGTAGGTAGAGGTAGGAAGGAGGCAGGTTGGACTGGGCCGTCTCAGTCATCCTGGTAAGTCATAATGAAGCCACAATTAGAGCTGTGATAGAATAAGACAGTGGGAAGTTACGTGAGGGCATTATAGAGGTCAAATCTTCAGGTTTTCAGAAAGGATTGACCAAAGTGAGCAAAGGGAAGAAAAAATTGAAGACAGCCTGGGGCTCTGGAATCTGGTTGAAGTAGGTTGGTAACTCTAAGGTAAGGCAAGAGAAGTGCCCAGGACACAAAATTTAAAGACACTGTCAGACTTGTACAAGTGCAAAGTTCAGCACCTGAGAATGAGTACCTCGTTAACCGGGAGTGGGCACCTTGCAGTCCTATCCCTGACCTTCCAGTTACCTTTGAAAGGTGGATTGAAGTCAGAAGAGGAATTGTTTGAAGGAGGAAAACTGATGTCTCTGATTTTGGACAGGTTTCTTTGGACCTGTTTGATGGATCCAAAGAAAGATATGTAGCAAGGCAATTAAAATATTATTTTGGGGGGCACAAAACAGTAGAAGAGATGGGAGGAAAGAAGAGGAGGAAGAGAGAGGGAGAGAGAGAGAGAGAGAAGAATAAGTAGGATTGTGGGGAGAGTAGGAGTGACACATGCATATGTGTTAGGGTATTAGTTGAATCGAATCCTGGAAGTGGTGTCAGTTGCCCACACTCAGCTACATGTCCTGGTGTGGTATCAGTTTCACAACCACACCAATCATCTATTTAGCCCTTAATTATATAACAAGTACCTGCACAATCCTTATCAAGTGCCAAACACTGGTTTTCATACTTATGTACATTGATTTCTCTAAGCCTCATAACCCCCATAGGTTACCCCACTTCACACACTATGAAACCAAGGTGCGCAAGGAGAAGTGCCCTGCCAAGTCTCAAGCAGTCATGCATGTCACCACTCGTGTGCAAACTCAGGCTTTCAGGGTGTGTGCTGCTGACCAGATTTGAAAACATTCAAATGAGACATGATCACCTATTATCTTACACTCAAAAACATTTCCCATTCCGTTCCTACCTGACAGTGGCCCCTGGCCCTGGAGAATGATTTTGGATAGGACTGTCAGCACAGAGCAGGACCTTGCAGAACAAATGCAGAAGAGATGCCAGAAGTGACAGAGAGTAAAGGCACAAACATCAGAGTAAAATCAAGATGGTGCTGGGCTGAGGCCCCTGCAAGAAACAGGCTGCTCCCCAAGGGTCAAACTTCAGAGACTGTGTCTGAATAAAGGCATGGAGTTTGCAGACTGAAAGTTACTAGCAATCTTTTTTAAAATGGTATTGGGGTTTGAACTCAGGGCTTCACACCTGCTAGGTAGACACTCTACCACATGAGCCCCACCCCAGCCCCCATTTTTAAATTTAATTACTTTTCAGGTAGAGTCTCATATTTTTTATGCCCAGATCCTCCTACCTACAGCCTCCCATGTAGTTGAGACTGTAAGTATGTGCCATCACACCCAATTGATTTGTTGAGATGGGGTCTCACTAGCATTTTGCCTGGACTGACCTCAAATCTCCCAGTCTCCACCTCCTGAGGAGCTGGGATTATAGGCCTGAGTCATCATGCCCAAATACTGGCAATCTTTGATAGAGGAATGACTGCAATGGCGAGAGGAAGAGAAACTCTTTTTAGGGGAATTAGGAAAGTGAGTAATGAGAAACCAAAGCAAGGGATATGGCAGTCTTGATATATAAGGGCAGAGACCCAGGCAGCAGCAGCTGGAAGTTGCAGCCTACAGAGAGAATTCATTTGTGTGCGAGCAGTGGTAGTGGGCTGCGGAGAAGCATGGTGAACACAAGGCAGAAAGCTCCAGATTCAAATCTTGTTCTGTACTGTGCAGCCTGAGACAAGTTACTTAATTTCCCCAAGATTTGTTTTCCCCAGTGCTAATGGAATTAATATTACTTAGCAATTTTGACAAAGGATGCGACACATACAACATATGCAGAGCAGATGTTCAGTAATGATCAATGCTACTAAAATTACAGTGAATTTATCTTAAAATACACGATGGTGTTGAGTTTCATAAAGGTATGTGAAAGGAGTTTTTATGTCTTTCTAAACTCCCCACCAGAAAAAAGAAAAGAAATCGTTAACTCCAGCTGTGCCCGTTGCAGCCAAACCGGACAAACCATCTGGGAAGGTATGAAAGTCTCAGTGCTCTCCTGCATAAGATAGTGTTCTCTGCTCTGTATTTCTGTCTGTCTGACATCTTTTGGCAAACAATATGAGATTCATTAAAACATCATTTTAATGAATCATTATTTTAAGAAGATATGACTGGGTTGAAACTGTGACATTCACATGTATAAAATGTTTGTAACATTTTATAACTGTCTGTTTTGAAAACTCCATCTTCATCTCATGGAGTTTACATTCGAATTTCTCTCCTGCAGTTATACTTTCTTAAACCAGATGTGTTACTAAAGAGTATAAGGTACTTCTGCATTCTGAAATTCCTTGACACTTATCTGTGATTGAGTCCTAAAGTAGTGGGAATGTGGTAGTTGTGTAAAAAAAGGGCAAACATTGTAAGCAATCCTTTATAATCTGAGTTAAATAGTGAAGGGTCTTTCCCTAGATTGTGGATTCCCCTTCAATTACAGATTTTGTTCACAATTAGTCATTCTTAATTAACCTCAAAGATAAGGTGGCAGCACTCTCCCGTTCATTATGCTGACTTAAGCTCACATGGACAGAATAAATTGTCAATTCCTATAACTTAAACATCAATCCCAGGTAATTTCTGTTTTATAGACATAATTGGGCAAGCAAGTGAACAACAACAGCAACAAAAAAAACCCCTAACAAATGAATGAAAGTGTTCAAGGAAATACGTTTTAGAAATAGATTCTTTTTGCAACAGGTGTTGTCTAGAAATTGTGATGGGGTTCTTTGCACAGAACTCTGGAAAACTATGAAAAGCAATGTGTATCAATTACTACATTGCTGTAGCAACAAGGTAATAATTCTTTGTATTTCTTTTTCTTTTTCCTCTTTAACTGGCAGGACATCCAATTGGCAACTTTAATGAACTCACATACTCATTCACGTAATTGATGACTCTGGACTTGTTGAAATTGAGATTCTTACCCAAATATGGCTTTTTATCTTCCCCACCAGATTGTGTATTCTGAAGCTTCAATAATAAAGTTAGACACAATTACCTATTTACAAATTTGGAAAATGTATAATGTTTGGTTTTCCTGGTATTTACAAAATTAAAAGTGAAATATGTTTAACAAATAACATTTATACCTGCTCTTTCATTTCCAGTCAGGCATGGATTCTGCTTTGGATGACTTGATAGACACTTTAGGAGGACCTGAAGAAACTAATGAAGAGAATACAACGTATACGGGACCAGTGGTTTCGGTATGTGACCTGCCCTCTGTCGAAATTTATGGTCAATGAGTAGTGAAGCCATAAGACCATGAAGTACAAGAAGTTCTGTTGCTTGATAGAAGCAGGATGGTATCAGTATCTAAAACAGCAAGTAAAAGCTGGTGTTAGGATGAAATGGGTTTGTTCTATGATAGCTGTACAGTTATGTTGGATCAGCAAATATTTGATTGTCTGTGCTAAGACTGACACTGGGATACTGCCTATTTGTTTTCTAGGTATTACATTAGAAATAACTATAAATCTGATAAACTTGTGTATTGGGTCGTATGGAAATCTGCTATGTCACTAACTTATTTTTGTATATGTTAGAAACGTTAGATATTGAAGACAGAATGTATTTTTAATAGAAAATACATTTTAGCATAATATTTTGAATATTTTCTAGCATTACATGTGAGTTCAGTCAATTAAATATGGGTGTTTGTGTAAACTTAGAACTTCATAGTTTTATAAAGTTTTAGCTTCTTGATGATTTATATTGCATGTCAGTGGTTCCATAAATTAATAAAGGAATATTACTTTGTTTTCACATTACATTTCAGCTGATTAGTTACATAATATCCTTGTCTGTGATTTTCTTCCAGGATCCAATGAGTTCTACCTACATTGAGGAATTGGGCAAAAGAGAAGTCACAATTCCTCCAAAATATAGAGAACTATTGGCTGTAAGTAACTGTTCACTTTTATTTCATTGTTTCCTTCTTGGAACATAATTTTATATCAATACCATCATAATTTTTAAAATTCAGGAAATATAATGCACATATGAAATTGTCATTTCTAAGAAATTCACTGTTTATATTTGCTAGGGCTGCCCTAACAAAGTACCCCAGGCTGGTGGTAACAATTTTTGGTACCATTGTTCTGTAACTGCTGGTTACAGAAATTTACTATAGTCTCATGGTTCTGGAGACTGGAGGTCTACAATTGAGGTGTCACCAGGGTTGGTTCCTTCTGAGGGCTATGAAGGAGAGCTCTCTTCTAGGCCTTTGTGCTTGGCTTATAAGGTGACTGTCTTCCTCTTGTGTCTGTTCACATCATCTCCCCTCTATGCATTTCTCTGGGTCCAAATTTGCCCTTTCCAGAAGGACACTAAGTTACATTGGATTCAGACCAATCCTAATGAGCTCAGTTTTACTTGATTATTTCCCAAAAGACCCTATGTCCAGCTAAGGTCTCATTATGAAGTACTAAAGGTTAGGAATTCAGCAAATGAATTTAGAGGAGGACACATTTCAATTCATTATACACTGAGAATACTTTTTGCTAATCAGGAAATTAATTTTGCCTTCTCAACCTCATCAAATTAATATTTGTTTCAGAAAAAGGAAGGAACCACAGGGCCTCCTCCAGACTCTTCGGTGAGTTTGCATAAATGTTTTCTAAGATGTAAATCAACTTCTGGTTGGGGGAATATGACTAACAATTCTTTTTTGGGGAATCATAAGTCTTCATAGTTTTATCTATTCAAAGAAAAATGATGGGTATGAGGTTGTCTCATTGCTTCTTGGTCTCATGTGTATTTTTTGAGGGGAAAGACAATGGAACCAAGAACATATAAGGATGAAATAAATGTTAATAACAATAATGTGAGCACATCTTACCACATGACTAACTCCTTTAGAAAACAGGAGAAATATAATTCTTACTGAGAACTTACCCCCTTTCAAACACAGGCTTTCATCTGAATTATTTCATTAATGTATCTCATTTGGTAGCAAAGGAATGCAAAAATCTGTTCTTCCTCTACGGAGTTTGTAATCCTTTCTTTCACTCGTATGGCTCCCTTGTGTTATCATCTTTGTGCTTGTTTCTTTAGAAATCCATGGGGCCAGACGATGCCATCGATGCCTTGTCATCTGACTTTACCTGTAGTTCTCCTACCACTGGTGGAAAGAAATCTGAGAAAGAGGTATTGCTTTTAATGCTATTAAGGATAACTTGTTAGAAACTATCTTGACCCTGAGAAGAACAGCAACTTTATAAATCTAGTTATTACAATTAAATTTCGATCATCTGTAAATATTACCTTTATATTTTATTTTTCAGAAATCTTCAGAAGTCTTAAAAGCTGAGTCAGCTAGGGTAATCAGAAGTACTGCTCCACCCCAGGAGAAGAAAAGAAAGGTGGAAGAGGTACCAATAATGACTCCTTTGAAAATAATCAGGAAGGCAGTCGCTTTCCTGAAGCCATTGAAGGCTATATTGATCATCTCCAGGCAAGCATCCTTATGAATTATGTGCTTTTAGCACAGTCTTCTAAGAGCATCTCACCATCACACACAGAGGGCAGAAACCAGAGGAATTGCACTCTTGGAATATAAAAATCTTAAGTTGATATCCTAAAGGAGTTTGAGCCTTGTGGATCAGTAGAGGGATGTCATTGTAGTTGTTTCTGTTTACCTCTCTTAACCACAATCATTTATGATCTAATTCTCGTAAATTCTGAAAGGCGATCCTGCAGTGCTGGGCTGGGTGAGAGAACATGTGCCATGAGCAAATAGTCTAGATAATGCTGAGGATAGTTTCTATCAGAGCAGCTTCTGCCTCTCCCCTGCTGGAATGGACAGTTTATTTTTATCTGCCAGCCTGAGAGAACAGTGGTGAGCACCACACCCTAAGAGTAGGAGTTCCACAACCATGAGCCTTTGTGCCTTCAGAAAAGGCAGCGAGGCTGCTTCAAGTTTCTGGGCTTCCTGAATTTACTGTTTTGCTGAAGGATAGGGCTGTTAGCCTCCATTTTTGGAGACATAGTTTTAGAAAAAGAAAGTCAGGGTGGTAAAAATTTACTTTCTTGTGGCTGTTATTTTCATAAGAGTATTTTATAATAATTATTGTAGTTACACTTTTCACTTGCAAAATAAGGGGGTGAACTGTGCCCCAGACAGTGCTGTTACTATAGGAACGTGTCTTAGCTCAAATTTTCATTGACTGGTAAGTCCTTTTTCCTTTTTCTCCTTTACTTAGTTTTCAAATAGAGTTGCCTACCTAAAGTACTCCCTTAATCGACAATTCATCTATATATTTAAAACATGTATTTTACAAAGAAGCAAATGGATTCTCTGAGCTCTGAAGTTGCTCTGCTTTTTCGTGCACAGAATTTTTCTTTTTTAACAGGATGCCATGAGTGATCAAGCACTTGAGGCTTTGTCAGCTTCACTGGGTACCCGGAAATCAGACCCTGAGATCGACCTCAGCTCCATTAAGGAAGCCGATGAGGTACTGACCTTGGAGTTCATATACAAAGCGTGTTAGTCTGCAGCTTGACAAGCAGAATGCCTGCCACATTTAGAATTCTTGCCTAGCTTTTACTTTATTGGAGATTGAACTATTCGTCATTGTTCCTTATTTTCAGAGTCTGGTTAATGTAGTTATTGTTGCTGGGCAGTTAGCAACCAAGAGGGATATTTGAGTGTTCTTGTAAAAAACCTATAATTTTAATATTCAAAATTAACACTAATCTCCTTTGCCAAAGCTTATATGGCACTTGACTAAACAAGATAACAGGTGACAGTGGGCTGGTGAGAAAGAGTAAGCTTTGTTTGCTCTTGTGGAGGGCCACGGAAGATGGAAGGATCTTTCTTAAACTATGGGGAAAGAGGTTGAAAAATTTGTATCAAACTTGAATGAAAGGGAACAACAATTACTGGGTATCTGGAGCTCATGAACATTTAGAGCATGGTGCTGATGAGTATTCAGCTCATCAACCTCCATTACTTAATAAGCCTTCTGAGCCAAAGAAAGCTTTTACCTGGTATAGAAGAACTTTTTAAATTAATGTTACTAGAATAAGTCAGGGAATCATATCTATTCCTATGCTATTTTCACATTTCAACACTGAGAATATCTGGTTATATAAATAAATGGGAATGTAGTTTTTCAGTAACAATCCCACTTTAATCTTTATTATATTAAAATCAGAGCTCTATCATCAAATAATTGTTTTATGATTGGATAACAAACAACTTGGTTTTATCTTTCTTCTCCCTCCTTTTCTTCTTCTTTGTTATTAATTTTATAGAATTGTGGGTTTCATTATGTTAAATCATAATTTTTTTTATTATTCATTTATTCACATGTACATACATTGTTTGGGTCATTTCTTCCCCCTGCCCCCCTCTCCCACCCTCTACCCCCTTCCTCCTCCAGTTCCAGGCAGGTCCTGTTCTGCCTTTATCATTAATCTTGTTGAAGAAAAGACACAAGCATAGTAAGGAAGACAAAGTGTTTTTGCTAGTTGAGGATAGCTATACAGAAATATTCCTAGCATTGCTTTCGTGTACACAGGTGTTATGACCCATGTTAATTCCTCTCTAACTGATCTTTACCCTGGTTACTGATCCCCTTCTCATGATAACCTCTGTCACTTTAAGGTTTTTGTATTAGCTCCTCTCTGGTGGGTACATCAAACGCTTTCATGTTTTGAGTTTGCTACCTATTCCTGTATCTCCCGTATGTCCTCTCTCCCCTTGTCATGTGGTATCATAATTTTTATAGACGTTTTCAATTTGGTTATCTGGGGAAGAGAAAGAAGAGAGTGACTTGGTCTCCGCAAGACAACCATGCCTGGAATCCTAAGGGCGGGGAGGGTACCCTATCAGCTCAGGGAAGGGGAGTTGGCAAGGTTCCTGTCACAATGCCCCTGTCTCTGTTGTCACTTCCTGTTCTGAGTTGTCAACAAAAAGGAATCTCCTTGACTTCCGGGAACTCTTAGTCTGAGTTGGCCCAGGTCCAAGATGGGCCAATTTTTATCTTCAACTTTCTTGGAGGGCTCACCAACCACAATTTTGCATGACAAGTTTTTTGATGATGAACACAAAGGATCAGGAGAAAGACTCCCTGTCGCCCATGACCAAGTAATGTACTGGGAAGGAAGGGAACTTTGATTACAGTGCTATCTGAGACGTACATTTCTTGGAGCAGCCAGTCAGGAGCCATGCTATGGCAAGGAGAGGTTGTTCTTAGCCAAAGCCTGGGGGCCATCAGGAGACCACGTTGAGTTTCTACCTGAGGACTGCTTGGCCAGGAGTGAATTTCACTTTTGCCTCAGGTTTTTTACAGATAACTAGAGTGAAGACAATAAATGTGGGAAGAGAAGTTATAAATAGGATACAAACCTAGAACAAAAAGAGTATTAGAGTGAGTACAATCAGCTAAGTAGAGGCAAAAAAAAAAATGACGTAGAAATAACTTGAAAAGCAGTGTGAGTAACTAGCATGGGGACTTATGTGAATGTATTCAATTTCCTCTAGAAAACCTTTGAGCAACAGTAAACTAAAATTCTGGCCAAAGAACGTTTTTCCCCTACTTTTGTAACTACTTACTAGTAGATTATAAATTATACTCATACTATTTACCAGTACATTAGATTACAAATGTTATATACTGGGAACTAATGGCCTACAATACAACTACACCTTATTTCTAACACAATTAGTTGTTCATAGTTCAGTGAAGTCCTGGTGTTATCGAAGGGAGTCCTTTTTCAAAAAGTTAAAACCAGTTATCCTTGGATAAGCCAGCATTTGTGATCAGATGCTTCTCCCATTTCTGAACTGGGTAAGAAAATTGGTTGTGTTCCCTCTTCTGTCCTCAGATAACTGGCTCATTGGCTGAGACAGATGAAAGCTATTAAAATAATTGCAACTAACTTCTGAATTGTGCTTTTCATCCTTTCAGGACCTTTTATTTACTTTTCTTTGGTGAGCCTTACAAGTCAGTGAGCTAAGTAAGGATTATTATGGGCTTACATTTTACAGCTGAAGAAAGCAAAACAAAGAAAGGCTGGGTGGCTTCCTAAGCTCAGAGGAACCTGAGAGCAGAGCAAGGCACCCCAAGACGCTAGCTGTGATTTCCCTCACCATGGTCTCATGCTTCATAGTTTATAGAGCTCTTCCTGTGACTTTTATCTGACTCGATGTTCTCATGAAGTATGTACAGAAAGTGGTATCATTTCATTTTATATGCATTATCCAGCTGCTTCTCTCTCTCTCTCTGTTTTCATCAGCCAAAAGCTAAAGAAGAAAATCTAGAGAAGTGTGGTGAGGATGAAGAAACAATTCCATCGGAGTACAGACTAAAACCAGTCACGGTACATTTTTTTTGCTGCAGAGCTACAGCAGTACCCTCATCTTGCCGTCACATCATTTTTGTTGTGTCAGTGCCCTTGACACTAAGGACGCATCTGCCCAACTTCAGATATTAACTTTGAAAACTGGACCCTTCCTCCTCTGTTTTCTGCAGTGAAGACCCCTTAATAGGGGGTTTGTCCTTGCCTACCAAAGTAGTGACTAGGTGGTCATTAGAATTCCCACCAATCTAGGACTGCATATGGTGGCATATGCCAGTGATCATAGCTACTTGGGAAGCAGAGAGAGGAGGACCATGGTTCCAGGCCAACTGGGCAAAGTTAGCACAAGATGCTACCTGAAAAACAAATCAAAACCAAAAGGACTGGAGGCATAGCTCAGCCCTGAGTTCAGTCCGTAGAACTTGGAAAAAAAAAAATCTTACCAATTAAGAGTATTTGGAGAGAGGAAGAGGACCAGGAGTAGGGTCACAGTGCATTATATATATGTTTGAAAATGTCATAGTAGACTCACTAGTTTGTACAATAATATATGCTAATGAAAAATCCTACCTAGATAGATGTTTTAACTACTAACAATGCTTGACATAGATTCTTAACCTTAAAGCAGAAGGAGCAATTTGGAAATAATTTTTTCTCTATGGATTAAATTATCATACATCTTCTAGATGGTTGATATAAATGTTAAACTCTTTAGCAGTATTTCAATATTAAGGTAGTTGCATTTGATTTTGGTGAGGATGATGGATCCTATAATTATATTTTGTAATTTATTTTGGAAATCATCCATACAAATTATAGAAAATCTCTGTGATTCCTATTATTGCAAGAGTGATATCTACCTCTTTATCCTAGGCTAGAGAATTAGGACTTTAAAAAAAAAAATCTTTCATTGACATAGTTTCACCTTTTTTGCCAAAGACCTTTTTTTTTCCTTATTCTATTGCCCTAACAGGTAGTAAAAAAATTTTTCAGTAATTTTTAATGAAAAGTAAATGTATATCATACTTAGAAATATTTGTTCTGTAGACCAACTCCTTGTTCTGATACTTTTTAATAAAAAATAAATTTAAAACACAAATTCATTCATATTAGAAAAAATATCGTGGAATCTCCCAAAACAAATGTAATGGGACATGAAAGCAAACTTTTTTTTAAGATGAATTTTCAACTTCATTTATAGGATAAAGATGGAAAACCACTGTTCCCAGAGCCTGAAGAAAAATCCAAGGTTGGAAAATAAGCTTTTTTTCCCCGATACTTAAAAAACATCAAAAATATCAAGTATAAACTTAAATAATTTTAGAAGGCCAAATTTCAGTGTGTAGACTTATGTGCCAACTTGGTATTAAGGAGGGGGGACTTCTAATGGTTAGCTGTTGGCTGATACGTGACTCTTTTTCCTATATTTTAGTGATTATTACTACTAAATACTAAATTTCTAAGACACATTCACTGAACATTAGTAGCTGATGCCAAGAGGGCTTTTAAATTAGATTATGTTAGCATTTAATTTAGAGTTTGATCTAGTCAGGACATACTAGAAATACTCTAAAAATTCTGTGTTTCTTAAGTTGATAAAAACATTGGTTGCCTATCAGTAACATTAATTAATCAATTACTGGGTGCTCAACACTGCATCAAATGCTTTTCCTACTTATCTGAGTCCTCACTGAATGAGAAAGGCGGTATTATGGTATTCCCATTTTACAGTGAGGAAGCTGAGATACAGAGAGCTAATATAAATAATTCAATATCACACAGCTAGAAAATAGCAAGTCTAGCACCCAGAACTCAGGCTATCACTGCTGGGGCCCAGCTTGTAAATTATGTGCCTGTCCATCATAGATTATTTTTATTAATGAAAATATCCACATGCCCTAACCTAGTAACACCACCTCCCCTGAAAGAACTGGGGATACAGAACTTTCCTTTCAGAAACCCTTTTTTCTTTCCTATAGACATAGGAATGTATGATTTGTGTTTTCTAAAGGAAGATATCTGAAATAGAAAAACCATAATCACTTTTCTCTCTTTGGATAAAAGTCTTCTGAAATTGAAGTATCAGGAAGGCTCTTGATTAAATGAAAGGCTCAATACTTTTGTAATACTGAGACATTTATAATTCCTTGTTTTTATCTTACACTGATAAATGTAAAAATCTCCTGTATGTTAGCTTTTGGTTTTAGATTCTAAAATATGTCCTAATATGTGTTAACCAAGAAAAGAAAAACATTGCCCTATGAAAACTTCTGTATATTTCAAGTAGTTATTTCATAATACACAGTGTTTCTTATGTTACAGCCCCTGAGTGAATCAGAGCTCATTGATGAACTTTCGAAAGATTTCAATCAGTCTGAATGTAAAGAAAAACATTCCAAGCCAACTGAAAAAACAGAAGTATGTTTCTGCAAATATAAATCTCTGCATTTGAAGAGTTTTTATGTTTTTTTAATATTAAAATATGTGAAATCAAAACTATTTTAGCATGAAGGAGTTGATTTTTTTTAATGTCCATTATTTTACCTTTTTAACAAGTAGTTTTTGTCTTGCCTTCCCCTAGATGTTTTTCTTTCCCCAAGCTAACCCTGATACTCTCACAACTTAAGTCCTGTGATCATTCCTTCAGGAAAGCTCTCAAATCCATGCTTTCCTTTCTGTTCCTGCTTTTGTAACTGATGGAGTTAAGTTGCCATCACCTGTCACCTCTGATCTCAATGGCTTTTCTTCAGTCTTTCTGAAGTATGTTTATAGTTGCATAAGTCCCCTGCTCCAATGCAGGAGCTTCCTATTCCCTAAAAAAGAAAAGTTACAACTAGTGTATTCTAGCCCCAGCTTCCTTTCCTGCAAAGGTCTGTCCAATGGCTTTTCTCATTCAGACATTTCTGCCTGGACAGTCTTTCCTTCTAATTCTAGAACATAAAGTCTCATTCATCCTTTGAAGGCTCTGCTAACATGCAGCCCTCTTTATCTCCTGACTTTCCCTCCCTTAACCATACTACTCTTCCAACTTTATTAAGAGGAAAACACACAGCAGAGAGTCTATAGTTCTTTTTTTTTTCTATGTCCCTTTTAAAGCATTTATAACAAGCACATTTGTAGCTGTCTTTGTTCTTCTTCAACTCATGTGTATGTAGTTTTAAACAAGTAGTAAGTTCCCTGAAAGAAGTGAGCATGCTCTATTTATGATCTTCTACTGAGTACCTTTCGTATAGGAAGGGCTTTGGTAAATGTCTGGATTAAAAACAATTGGAAATTTTATTCTTGTGATAAGGTAATTCAGTGGTTCTAAAACATTAGTGTACATTAGAATCACCAGGAACATTTTTTTAAAACACAGATTACTGGGCTCCACCCACAGAATTACTGAGTCAATATTTGGGTGAGGACCCAAGAATCTGCCATTCCCAAAAGGGTCCCTGGTGGGGCAGGTTACTTGAGTGGTCCAGTGTCACTCACTTGCACTTGAACATAGCTATTTATAATTTGCAGTATGCTCTTAGACTTATATAAATACATCATTTTATTATGTCCTATTATATCATAGGTATATTTTATACTTAAATATTATATGGCAATAAATAATATTTATATTTAATATATTTAATATATTATATTATATATAATTATTATTACAATAAATAATAATAATAACAGCAGTAGTTTCTCAAGTTTATTGAGTTTAATGTATTCTTGGGTACTGTGCACAGCACTTCTCGTGTTATCTCATTTACGCTCCTATCAACCCTTAAAATGTAGATACTACCACTGTTCTCCTTTCACAGATGGGGAGACTGAATCATTAAGTGGAAATAATGGTCACTGAAGAATTTTAACATGCCTTGACATATACACTACTCAACAGTCTTTAAGCATTCAAAATAATCATGCTTACAACCTGTATCTCAGAGTGTTTTGTTTGTCCATCATTGTTCATTTTTATTAACCAGACATTTCTAAAGTTATTCATAGTACTTATTTCTTTTCCCAGAAATCTAAGGCCACTGTCCCAGCTCCTGTAGCAGAGGTTGTGTCTCAGACCTCCATGTGTAGTATACAGTCAGCACCACCCAAGCCAACTTCCCTGGTGAGTGACTCCTTGGGCATTGGCAAGTGTTGAAAAAGTTCTCTTCTTCCTCCCTTTACTTCCTGTTGTGTATTGCCATCATATTATTTTATTCTGAGAAATAAAAAAATCTGATATAGTTATATTATTGTTATTTGGGCTTCAGAGGCATGTATATGCTAGAAACTTAGGCTACACTTAAATTTCTAACTAAATTGCTACAAGATGTGTTTTTATTTCATCTTTTGAAATTCTTTCTAGTTCCTCAGCTATTGTCAATAACCTGCATTTTCTCTTTCTTGCATCTTTCAGACCTATTTGGACTTTAACATGTAGCCCAATGCTACTTTTCTTACTGACTCTCCTGATAGAATTATTTATACCAAAATCAAGAGAACTCCTCCCCACTTTCCAAAATACAGATTGACTCAGTTCCTTCTCCTTTCCTTCATTCTTGCCTGCTTTCTTTCCATCTTTCCTTTCTTCCTTCCTTCCTTTCTTTTTTCTAGTGAAGAACAGAGGTTTATTAAGCAAAAAGGAAAAGAAGAAAAGCCTCCTGTGTGGGAAGGGTCTTAGAAAGGCTAAGCACCTCCTTCTTTATTTCTTTTGTATAAAGTATGATATTCAGTTATTTGGAACAACTCTTGTTCCCTTTTTCAGTGGGTTTTGTTTCCTTTATCTGATGATATAATGTGACACAGAGAATCATTACTACACTCAGTAAATCTACTCTGAATAGCTAACTTTCATCACCACAATGATGTTGCGATATCTTTGCATTCAATTTTTACAAGGTTGTTCTAATCATCTAACTATGAGAGAATAAGGAAAATTATTGACCTCAAACAACCCACCTAACATTTCAGAGCCTCAGTTGTGATGAGAAATATGGCCCTAATCTTAGCAACCTTCTAACATTTCTATGTGAAAAACAAGCAGAGAGAGTGGGTGAAGGAACCCCACTCTCCAGGCCTTTACAGAGGACAGGATCGCATTGACAAATGGGAATAGCACCATTTTCCAGAGAAATGGATGAGGCAGATCAGACCAGCACAGAAATGCAAAGCACTTCATGTGCTTGGAAAGGTGTTTGAGAAAACGGGGGCCTGGGAAGATTGAGTACAAGTGTCTTGAGTGTTGTGAAGTGGCTGCCTCCTGCCAGAAAAATGCTTCCTGCTAACTGCAAATCTTGACTCCAAGAGCTACCTCTTTCCATAAACATGGGTTTTTTTTTTTTTTTTTAAGACTGGTCTAACTGTGTATCCCTGGCTCTCTCAACTGTGGTCTTCTTGTCTCAGCCTCCCAAGTGCTGGGATTACAGATGTGCGCACCATATCTGGTTTAGGACTTTTTTTTTTTGACGTTTCTAGAAACTTTTACATTGTGAAAGTCAGGCCACAGACCTCCTTCAGAAGGAGGGATCTAGGAAAGTTCAGTAACCAGCTATGGAAGCAAAGATAGCACTGTAATCAAAAAGACAATAGCCAGCAGGTGGCTCACGCTCTAATCGTAGCTACCTGGAAGGCTGAGATCAGGAGGCTTCTGGTTGGAGACCAGGTTAGGCATTCTCAAGCACTTGCTTGGAATAGTAGCACATGCTTGTTATCCCAAGCTGTGCTGGAAGCTGAGATCAGAAGGATTGTGATTCCAGGCCAGCCCAGGCAAAACAGTTTGTGAGACAGGTGGGCACCTGTCATCCCGGTGATGGTGGGAAGCTTAAAATAGTAGGATCAAGGTCTAGGCTTGCCAGGGCAAAAATCGAGTTCCTAGCTCCAAAAAACAGAGCAAAAAATGACTGGAGGCATGACTCAAGTAGTAGCATACCATCTCACAACTGCAAAGCCCTGAGCTCAAACCCCAGTATTGTCAAAAAATAAGTAACTAAATAAATTGATTACAATAGAATACACTAGCCAGTTTTCCAGGACAGAGCTCTGGACTCTGGACTAAACCTTGTGCCATCTACCTCTTATGCCAAGTATAAGTGCCACGGAAGGCCTTAGAGGACTCAGTTAGTTCCCTTACCCTGCTGTAGAGAAGTGAGCATTTGAGTTTTAGCGGACAAAAAAAAGAATTGTTTTCCCCTTCCTTCTTGGCTGCCTTTCCTGGGCCTCTGCCCCACCAACTCAGGCCACAGTTGCCAAGGTTACTGTCACTGAGGCAATTGGCATTTTGGGGGAATTGTGACATCCTTGGGAGCCAGAAAGAAAAGTGGTAGAGTCTGATAAAGATTGGCAGCCTCAAGAAAGCATGAGTATTAGTGAGTAAAGGGAAACTGACAAGGGAAGGAGACAATGCGCGCCCAGGGTGGTTCTTGTGTGTATAGCAGAAGCCTGAGTTCTACTTCTGAGTTTGACAAGATGAAAATACAGAAATGAAATTTGTAGGCTATAATCTTTCTCTAGGTTCCTTAGTTCTGAATACTGCTTCTCCTAGCTCTTTTTTTTTTCTTTAATTCCTTCTGTAATTTCTTAAACCAGAGGTTGGCAAAGGTTTGGAAAGCAATGGTTTCCAAAGGTTCCAGAAATTGGGAGAGTGTCTTGGAGAAGGTAGAAACTCAGAGTGCCTGGATGAGACTTGGGTATCAGTGCAACTCTTGCAAGTTAGATACAATTCCCAAAACAGTTAGAGAGCAGGTATTTTTTTAAATTATTATTCACATGTGCATACATTATTTTGGTCATTTCTCCCCCTTGTTCCCTCCCCCACCGTCTCCCCTCCCCTCAGTTCCAGGCAGGTCCTGTTCTGCCTTTATCACTATTTTTGTTGAAGAAAGAGGCAAGCCTAATAAGGAAGACAAAGTGGTTTTGCTAGTTGAGTTGAGGGTAGCTATACAGAAATATTCCTAGCATTGCTTTCATGTACACATGTTATGACCCATGTTGATTCATCTCTAATTGATCTTTACCCTGGTTACTGATCCCCTTCTCATGATAACTCCATTGCTTTAAGGTTTCTGTGTTAGTTCCTCTGGAGTGGGGACATCAACGCTTTCATGTTTTGGGTTTTCTATCTATTTCTATATCACTGAAATACGCTTTCCCCTTATCTTGTGATCCAAGTCCAACCAATTGCTGCATTTGCCTAGATCTAAAGTCTACATATGAGGGAGAACATACGATTTTTGGTCTTCTGAGCTTGGCTGACCTCACTCAGAATGATGTTCTCTAGTTCCATCCATTTACCGAGAGCAGGGATTTTTGTTGTTGATTCTGGTAATAAAAAAATCTGTGCAGTTTCCAGCCACTAGGTGGCAGCAAATTACTTTCCTCTGGTTATTCTTGCTTTTGTAAGCACATTTTACCAGAAAAAGCGTTGTTCTTACTTGGAATGATGATGGCTAAAATATATAAATCAGAAAGAAACTTTTTTGGTAAAATTCCAGTAAATCTTCAATATGAGGTCAGAAATTTTCATGATGAGAGTTGGACTTTTTATGCTTTTGTTTGACCAAGATCAATAGTAGAAAAGTCTGTATATTGAAACTCAGTGCCCACATAACAGAGAATGCAGTTTAATGAATGGTGCTTAACCATGTAATGCAATGTAACATCTGCATTACACTTCGTCTGACTCATTTCAGAACCGGTCCTAGCCATGAACCATTCAATTGATTTTTCTAAGCCACTAACGTATGTCATAACCAGTTTTGAAAAACCAGAGCTCATCCCATCTTTTAGTCTGAACATGGGTCTTTCTTTATTTTTCCTTTCCATCATTTACGCTCTGTGCTCATCTGTTTATTTTGAATACCAGTGTGGCCAGAGCTCCTATCATAAGAGTTCATTTCACTTTGAACAACTGGACCAGGTAGTGGTGCTCATTGCACCCTTAGGGTAGTTGGTCACAGGCAAGGTCACCTGAACTATATGTGATTCACTATGACCAAGAGAAGCCCAGAGAAAAAGCATGCCTCTCCCTGAGACTGGCCAGGCGGCCTGATAGAAAATAGGAATGCAGGTTCTCTCCTGGACTTTCTGAAAATCTTTCCTGTATTGTTTGTGAAACAACCTCCATAAAGACCACTTTTTCTGTCTTGTTTCTGTTTTTACTTTGCTTTCTT